GATGGCTCCTTGGCCGATCGTTTGGAGCGTCCCGGAGTTGGTCTGGGGTGTCCACATCCCTGGAACACCTGAGGTGACAAAGTGAAATAAATAATCTGTTATTTTTCCCCTCCTTTACCCTTTATGGGATCTAACTTTAAATCAAAACACAAACAACATTTAAGTCATTTATTTCATATCTTAATGCATTTATTTCCAAAATGAGAAAGTTAGCAAGAAATGGTGGAGGAAAAAAAAGCCAAAATGTGGTGGCGAATAACTAAGAGAGCAGCCTGCTCCTGTAAGTTCCCCTTTATGAAACTGGAAGCAGTTTGTGTTTGAAGTGAGATGTGGGCGTCTCTCTGGTGGATTAGCTCCTGCCATGGATGTCTGCCATGTTTTAATTATGCCGCGAGCCAATCCTAACCTTACTGATGTTTTTTTTTTTCTACCTTCTGCAGCTTGTTGCCTTATCGCAACATATGAGAAAATATCATGAGAAAACAATATTTGACTTGAAGGTTGATGATGATGCAGTAAAACTGCACGACGTGTTTATTTGTATATTTCCCAAAAAAAACCTTGCACAATAACGTTCAGCCGTTCTTACCTTGGTGGAGATGCTGACACTGTTTTCCTGCATGTGCATGATGGCTTCTGAAACCTTCACAGAGATGGAGTCAGCAGCCAGCTCCACATTGAACGGCCCCTCCAGCTTCTCTGACAGCTGGTAAACAGCGTCTGTTAAAATTATAAAATAAAGTCCTGTCTAATGTCCAACTGTGGAGACAACCGAGACAAACTACAGCATTTGTTGACATGACGGAAATCGAAGACCGTTGAATGGAAAGAGAAAATAAATAGTTTATTTTCACAAACATAGAGAATGTCCACCGTGGCAAATGGTTTTTAAGGAGGGAGGCAGGCCCTCACCCCTCCCCACAGTGGGACACCAAGCTACTGTCTGCTCTGTTTGTCCTTCAGGGGAGAATTTGCATTGATTTGAGTTTTTTTTTTTTTTCAGAATAGTAGTTTTGTAGGAATAGTGTAAATAAAGTGTAAAACAGTGGAGTTTTGGAGCTAAAGCTGTGTATGTGTACAGTAGACATGGGGAGGCTTTACAATATGGCCGTGCTACTGTTGACCTTTGGAAACCACTGGTTTAGGCTATTGTGCCACATAAACTTCCCTGTCCTTTCCCCGTTTAATGCAGTTAATTTAAAAAATTCAAGTGTTTCCTGATGATAGATTTAAGATTTAAAGATATTACAAAGATTTTGCAAAAAAGCTAATAAAATGTAATTTTCCCAAAATAATTAATGCACTTGGGGGCAAAATAATGATGTATCTAATTAGAACAGAATCTGAAAATCATGTAACTAATATCTCTATGTCCTGTTTTAGGAAGTTCTGGAAATCAAAAGATTTTTTAAAAAAGGCCAGACGTAGCTGACGGGGGGGAAGTATTACCTGAGGGTGAAATGGATTTGGATGCAGCAAACAGTGATGAAGTGATGAAAGGTGAGAACATGAAAAGGAAAAGAAAATGCAGGATATGTGTGGGTTTGATGAAAGGGAGAACGAAACACAGGAAGACAGATCAATTGAGAAGGAGCAGAGGAGCATGAATGATTAATGGAGCAGGAATTCATTAGGGCAAAGGAAGTGGTAAGTAAAGGAGACGCGGATGAGCCGCGACAGGACTCTACTTTTAGGCGCGCTCAGACGTACATCAGACAGCAGGTGAAGGCACTATCCTTGACCTAAAAACCTCAAATGTCACAATTTTTCATTGTTAAAAGTTACTAACCAATGAAGTTGTTCCACTCTGTGTCTAGGTCAGCCTGATTGGCTAAGCAGCCCTTCATCACATTGAGGCAGAGGGAGTGACAGGGTTTGAGGAAAGGCATTCCTCGACACAGAGGACAGTACCACTGACGCATCAGGCCACGCACACACTCCGAATCTGCGGTCAACTAGAGGACAAAAAAAAAAACAACAGATGGATTTACAAGGTGGAGTACTAATACAAAAACACTTGGTCTACTTGCATGGTAGCTAACGGTAGAAGCTAATTTGATCAGGTCTAGGCTGAACTGCCCCGTGAGTTGATGTTCGTAAGTGGACTCAGATCTCGACTAACTTTGAAGATCTTTTCGAAACGTGAAAAGCATCTTTTGTGGCTCATGAATGTGATGCAAAGTGAGAGAAGTCACCTTTGTTGCTTTGTTTACGATGTCTCGACCTGCAGCCAGACCCTGAGCCAGAGCCCTGGCTGCAATGAAGGCTCTCGAGACCTGCAAGAGAAAAAAAAAACGTATCACTTATGGGTTGCCTAACAACTTTTACAACTGTTCATGTGATTGAAAAAAAAAACGTATCACTTATGGGTTACTTAAGTTTACGACTGTTCATGTTTATACCCAGTACAGGAAACTTTTCTTTAGCAAGACCATAATTTAAAAAATAATTATGTATAATATAGATCATTTACTGATAACTTTAAATGTTTCATTATGTGTCTGATCTTAGGCCATTCTTTTATTTTCTGGAAACGTCCAAAAAGTCGAACGTCACGCACTTGGACGCGCAGTTTACGAGGCACGTCTCCGAACGGCTGCAGCTGCTCGACGTGTTTGCTGACGCATTCCAGATAGTCCTCGCTGAACTGATACTGAGGGTTGACCAGAGAGAAGACCCGCTCCACCAGCCTGGACCAGAAGTCTGACAGAACCTCAGTCAGGCTCACACTGCCCCCTGTGGTAAAGAGGACAAAAACAACAGATTTCATTAGTGGGTGTAGGTAGGTCAAATAATGGCAGCGGTGCCTTCACTGTCCTAGGACCAGGTTTGAACTTCACACCGAGCCCCTTGAATACTGAATGGCTAATTTACACGTGACATAAAAATGATGTTAACCAAATATATATTGAAATAAATGAGCGCGACATTACATTAACATTACAACTGTTCTTAATAAATTTAATTGCATATTTTTTCTGCAATTAATCACAGTAAGATCATGAGTTAATCATGATTTTATTATGGTTTTATGTTTTTACTTGCATCGTGTTTCTTTCTTTGCAGTTTTGCTTCCTTTTTTTTTTCATTTCTGGTCTGACTCGGCATCTAGAAAGGAGATCGTGAATCGGCAACTCTCCCATCTGCAGTCTACTACACAAAGGCTGGAATTATCCCACCGTGCTGTTTGGAAGTCGGACAGGTTGAGTAAGCAGAGACAGCCTGCAGACAGACTCACCACAGAGAGGAGCTATTATTGCCAAAACACGGAGCGTCAGAACTGACATAGAAATAGTCTGGCATCCCTGAAATTTCGATTCTCTCCTCTTTGTTTTTTGATCTTTGATTTTTGGGAAAGGATAGCAAATCCTGACATTTTGAAAAGGAAATGTTTTATTTATAGATGGAACAAGCAAAGAAGAAACTGGTCCCCAGCTGTCACTGTGGACATTGGAATTACATGGTGTCATCAGAGACCACAGTACCACCAGGCTGTCCCTAATTTTATTGACATTTTTCATAGGTCTCAAACTCCCAGCCTGTGGTCCTACATCTGGTCTTTTAAGCCCCTCCCCCCTCTTTTGACCGCCAAGGGTTACAAAAACATCACATACTGAATTGTTTTTGTATCTCCACAGTAATGTTTTTTCCTATTCTACTTGAATCATTTGACCATTAGTGTCCTGCGCCTGTTATCTCAACTTGTCTCTTCCCTCATCTCGTCTCTTGTCCTACCTTTCTTGTTGTGTCTTGTGTTGTCTCGCCTCATCTGCCGTATAAACTCTTATGTTTTGAGCCTGTCGTGTCTGGACTTTCATCCTGTCCTCTTCGCCTCTGGTTTCTCTCCTTTTCTCAATGTTTCATATATGTCCTGTGTTTTCTTGACTGCTTGTCTTTCAGGTCCCCGTATCTTGTCCCCACTGTTGTCATATCTTTTCTCAGCCAAACCTAATCAAATGTTTCATTTTGTCTCATGTTTTGTCAACTGTTGTGTCTCTTGTCTTGTTTAGTCTTATTTTGTTTGTCTCTGTATTTGGCCCTGCAATGGACTGGTGAACTGTCCAGGATGTACCCCACCCTCACCCATCCATAGCTGGGATTGGCTGAAGTGGCCCCGCCCCCACGATCCTGTTGAAGAATAAGCGGTAGGTAATGGATGGATAGGTCTTGTCTGTTCTCTTATCATGTCTCGTCTTTACTTTTTTTTTTTTGTCAGGTGTGTTAACCCAACTTTTTCCCTTCTGTGTCACAACTTTTCTTTGTATTTCGTGTTTCTTTCACCTTATGTTGTGCCTTATTTCTTGTCCTTACTAGAAGTGAACTAACCAGAGTAATATCTGCGCAGCTCCACAAACAGCTCCTGAAAGACATGTGCATTCTGGGTGAAGAGCCGGCCGTACGTCTTGGTGAACATCTGATTCATGGACTTCTCAGACAGGTCTATGAGCTCTCTGAAGAACTCTGTAGTAAAGAAGAAGAAGAAGCGGAGGTAGGAAAGTCAGATTACATGCTGCTTCTGTCACCCACCTTCTTTTTCCTGTAATATCTTGGACAGGATTGTGCGTAGGTTCTTTTCCACCAACATCATATCTCAGCTCACAGGTACAGTGAGATGAGATCAAGCACATTATAAATTAGTTTAACATTTATGGACTAAAAAAAAAAATTCCATCTCTCAGACATGCAGAGTCTCCCACTCCTTCAGCATTTATAAAGTGACTCATCACAAGTGTTATATAAAAGAGAGAGGAGAGAAAAGGGGTCAAAGCAGTTCACAGCAGGTAGGTGGAAGGAATTCTAACTTCAGATTTATGCTTTCTGTAAACCTGTCACTGGAGCTCCCACTTAGATGTGTGCCTAACATGTGTGCCATACTGGAGGGCCACAGGAAGCTGTGTAAATTGGGAAAGGTAACAGGTTATATCATAGTGATGTCATCCAAGTCAAACCTACTTTAGCACAAGGATAGGAAAAATGGATGTAAAAGTGGTTCCTTTTTTTGGCTAGAGAAATAGGTGGATGTATGGATGGATGGATGGATGGATGGATAGATAGATAGATAGATAGATAGATAGTTAGATAGATAGATAGATAGATAGATGGGTAGATAGATGGGTAGATGGATGGATGGATGGATGGATGCTGCCAGTTATCACATTAGTAAAATAAGAGTGTGCTCCCTACCATCAAATCTGCGGTGTCTCTGGCTGAAGGTAGTCAGAAGGAACTGGCTGTTCTCCTCCACGGCTTTCAGGAAGTCTCTCTCACTCTGAAGAGCCAGAGTCTCCTCCATCTGAGTGGAGCAGCAGGTGTAGTCCTGAGGACATAGGCGCAGGTGCTCACCTGGACACAACCAGGCCAGCAGAGACAGAGGTTAGAGCAGTGATCGTCTTTACCTCAGGCTGTGGTTGTTTTCTGACTTCGAAACTGTTCTCAATCGACGGACAAAATCAATGCTTTGAGGACAAAAGGACACAGCAACCACTGTTCTAACGTGCCCTAATTTGAGGTCGGGTTTCATCGCTGAGTTAAATGCAGATCACACATTGAAATAAGGCACTAAAAACAAGATTTGCTTTTTACAACAGTGAATGAAGAAATTCCTAGGACTAATCTCAGTGAGGTTTTTGTTTGGCGACATCGCTTCTGTTCTAATTTGGCAGCCATGTTTTTATAACAGTGGGGGGGAAAAGCACACTTAAAATAATTAAATAATATTTGAGCTGATTGGAGGGGGGAAAGCCAAGACAAAAACAGACTCTAAATGCATTTGCACACAGACATGGGCGTCCCAAAGATGTCAGCTGAGGACAGACGAAGAAGGATGTCACGTAGTTTACACGCCATCGAAGGACTGGGTTTTCTGTAGTGATCTGAGCATATGTTCAGTTTTAGTGGTTTGAGAAGACAAGACAATACCAGCCAAGACTCATATGGTTCATAATGATCTCTGAAAAAATAAATGTCAAACCATATTGTTGACACCAAACCACGATTTACTGACAATAACGTTTCTTTATCAGTAAACACGTTTTTATTACCAGAGTCAATTCCTGTACTTATCAGGGCGGTTATTCTTCTAGCGCTAGAGAAATCTTATTAAAGCCTACAAGGCCGGTAATAAAAAAGAAATAGTCATTCCTTTCTATGAATTATTCAGTTTCAATCTGTCTCTCTTTGTCCATCAGGTTGGCTCTTTGATACGTCAAAGGTAATGATATGTAAATGACCACCAGGGGGAGAGAGACAAATGCCCCATTTTTTTAAAGTAGGAATTCTTACTGTTTTTATTTTTTATTCCCTGATATAAATGTAATAAGTACAATAGAGCTGGAAGTCGGAGTACCAGCTCCACCCACGCTGATGTTCCTCTGCTCTTCTATTGTTCTCTCTCTCTCTGTGTGTGTGTCTCAGTCTCACACACTGACTATTATCCCTCTCTCTCATCTCTCCATTTCCATTTCTAAACTGCCTCCCTTCATCCCTCACTCTCCCAGCCATCTGCTCTCCTTGCCCACGGGACGGGGAGCCAAGTGTGAGGACACACAGACACACCCACACACACACACACATTGACAAAATCAATCAATGTTGCTGTTTTCTCAAACAGACAAAGCTGACTTGCCTTTAAGTGGGTTTTGTAAATGTAAATTCCACCAACAAATGTTCCTCTTACTATAAAACACTGCAATTGTGTCTGTCACACCCACACTGCTCTTCTTGTTAGGTCTTTTCAGTCAGTTCCAGTGGTTTGTACATTAACCCGGACCTTATTCCTAACACAAAACCAGTCTGGTTAATGCTTAACCCGAACCTTGAACTAACAATTTTTTTAAAATCAAAATCTCAAAGGCTATGCTTTGTCTCATTACAACCAGAAATTGATAATTATCTGGTCCAAAAACAGTAACCTGAAGTATGTTGGAAGTTATTCTAAAAATAGACATAAAATGATGGAACGGTTACTTTACTTTAAGACCCACAACTGTATAAACCTATGAATGTTATGGGGAATGTTAACTTTATCCTATGAATGTTCTTTACATGCTATAAAATCAGCAAGTTTGTTTTTATCCCCTCAAAGTATGATGATAATATATAGAGGTGACCAGTCCTTTCTGATAATATAAATCTGGCTTTGTCTGTTGCAACCTAAAACCCAGGAAAATAATCTAATATTATACTTATTTTACAGTATATTGACCTTCACATCATCTTTATCAGATACAGTGTCTTCATTAATACTCCTGCCTTAAAAAAAACTCAATACCTTTTTTCAATATAAATGAAAATGTGTTTTTGTCCAGGAAGTCTAGGGGACAGATAATCTCCACAGTGATTAGATCTGAATTCAAAAATGATCTTTGGCAGCCAGTAAATCTGCAGCAATCACGAGCAATTGCATGCTCAAAACTTTTGGAGAAATATTTCCAGGCACTTGTTGAATCGATGCCACAAAGACTAAAAGCAGTATTGATGACAGATGCAAAGCCTCACTTCTCTAAAGTACAACATCTGCCTCCTACCTACTCCGCCTCCTGTCATCTTCAGTTCCCTGGGGATTTCCTATATTCTTTTAAGATACCATCCTCATCTCCAACATGGCTTGTCTAACAAATCAGACATATTCCCACTACACTGGCAGACTTGATTTTTAAACATTATCTGCAAACCTTCCAACATTCACAACACGTAACACAGCCGTTGCCTCTCAAAAATAACATCCATAGGGAAACAAGACAGTTATGGTTAATAGGAACTGGTAATTCTTTGAGAAACATGGATTTATTTGACTGTTTTTCCTTTTCTGCTTCACCCAACTGCTAATCCACGTGCTTTCTGTTCATTAAGCCGATAAGGTTATCAGCAGTGAGCAGGGCCTATGGGTTCATACAAACATGTATAAATGCAGAGACTTCACAGTGGGCCAGGCAGCAGACAGTAATTACGGGAGAGGCTCTTTGTTGCACCAGTGTTGGCAATTTGCTCATCCTCTTAATCATCCTGTTTAAACAGCATAGTGGGGAGGAAGTGGGGAAAGAGGAGGTGTAGGAGTAATGGGTTTTAAACCACGCTCCACTGTTTCTCTAGAAGGAAATGTACCACGAAATTTATAGTGTGACACTTTCGGTTTTTGTCTAGGTTTCAGTCACTGTGTACAACTACCGTGATTTCCATAGTTTCTGCCATACTTAATTTTTTAATTTTATCATTTTCATGTAGCCACTCTTTTAATGATATACTTACAGATGTGATAGCTGAATTGATGGTGACCATTATGTGCGTAATTACATTTTAATCCCAGCTGAGACTAACCTGAGTTGACGGGGGGTAAGAAATTAAATGAAAATTTCCGGTCCTGCCTTTGACACCAGAATAACTGACATGACACGATTTCTCTGTGATAATTCTTAAAATATGCTATTATTTCATATTCTTAAACTAAATACATTGTCCAATAGATAATGTAACAGTCAAACATTATATATATATATGTATATATATATATATAGAAAAGCCAGTGGGGAATAAAATGTGCTGCTTGCACTAAATTGTAATAACTAGAGGTAAGATCTGTGTAGCTTCGACGAAGTTGTTTTATCTAAGACGTTTTTGCCGTGAATGTTTGTATGAATTATTAATTTTAGGTACCTTTTTTATACTTTCGTTAGATATTTATAATTTTAGGATTATTACTCGCCTCCTGTAGGCTAATTTAGTTTCTTTTTCAACACTCATTTCTTGGCCGTCGTTGATAACTGGCACTGCATTACTGCCACCTAGTGGCCGTCTATTCCCAGTGCGTCTCGACCAAAGGAACTTCCAGTGGTCTAACAAAGCTATCTTAACGTTTAACTAATCAAGTTATTAAATGTGCTTTCCATCCATGTGTTTGACAAAACGGCAATGTTCCACTTCGAGCTGTTCATCCCATTTTTTTTGCTATCAGAATATAATCTAAATAATTAATTAAAACTTGAATTAAACGATTTAAAGTCATTTTCAGTCTCTGAATGGTCCATGACATTGCCATGGGGTGTTTTCTCGGTGATTTTTACCTGATATGTGAGTAAACGGTGCGGAGTCGATGCCATAGCCCTTCTCCGCGTACATCTGCCGGGTGTCGGCGCAGCTTCTACCCGCTTCAACTGCCGCCGGGCTGAGTATCCCTGTCAGGACAGCGAGCGCACAAAGCACCAACCGCAGAGAGGACCCGAAAAAAAACAGCCGGGTATTCATCGGAACGGCAGGGCTTCAAATAATCGTTCACCGGCGGAGGTAGACTCGCAGAGTGAGAATAGGTGCTGCAGCTGATTAATGAATGTTTAGAAGGGTGAATAAAAGAAATCTTCAGATGAACGCACTGTTACGAAAAAAAGCACTGGCAGCAATCGTTGGAAAAAGTCAATTGTTATAAAAGTGCGAAAAACAGAAGCATCCAGGATTGTTTTTTTTAATCACATAAGTTTCCTTCGACAATACTGTACCTTATCCTGACTGATCCGCTGCTGTGCGTTAATGAGAACTGAGACTGAGACTCAATGGGACACTCCCTCCCTGTCTGTGATCTCTATCAGCATCCTCTAATACATGCGCGGCACTGTGCGTTCACGTACGGCAATAAAATAGCATCAAACCGGAAGCATTTTTTCGAAATAAAACGAAGATCAACGTATTTTATATATACAAAATATTTCAAAACGCAAATAGATAGATAAAACGTATCATTGGGACTCGTACAAAAATGCATTTGCAAGCTAGATTTGATTCCGACTTTTTCCATGAGAAAGTACCCAGTTTAAAATGTTCAACATTGCACTGGTATTCATCTTGAAGTTTTATCGGTGTGGCTTGAACTCAAAACGCTATGATTTGTTAACATTTAGGAGTGTTTCCTTAATGACTATATTCTGAATTGAAACCAGGAAGAGTTATTTATTACAGATTAAGTCAGATTAATTGGAACGTTGTACTTGTGATTTCAATTTCGAGTTAAACTGAAAGCACCCAGAACATGACTTACCTTGGTTCAGTCACGAAAATAATAATAATAATAATAATAATTCAGATTACATTTTGTAAAAGAAACTCAAAACAGTGGATATTGGATTGAAACATTCCCCTTATATTTTTCTACTAATACATTAGTCATATATATCTATCATATCTATCGATCTATATATATATTATTTTTAAAGGTTTTTATATTTTTTTTTTCTAGAGATTAAATTATGTGAACCACAATACCTATAAATAGGGCAATAAAAATACATTTTGGAGGATGTAACCGGAAGTAGTATGTGTTACCTTGGCTGGTGTGAGCCAAGGCACAGAACAATGGATTGCATTGACGGGAACCTTAACAACACCTGTGAATCGTGGAAAAATATGGGCAGACACTTAAGAAATATTAAGACAGCGAGGCACATAAACACATACTTACTGAATCACGACATTTAACCCATTTACCTATTTAAAGTTTAGGAAAGATAACTTTTAACACCGCCTAAGCTAAAATAAATTAGTGACGATTTGCGTATGGTAATTAATACCCAGAAGCTACTCTGGAAAACCAATTAACTTTCGAGCTGAGAAGATTGTGACCAATCGGAGATTAAAACATCACCGCGAACTTTTTTTTACATTGTTGTATCTGACCGGAAGTTGAAGAAGCATAGCAAACCAGATAGACAATCTCCGACCTTCAATAAAGTAAGACCAATACAACTTAATTATAATTAATTCATTTAAGGTAAAGTTTTAAAAACGTACGCACATTTTATTTACTGATTGGACTAACTGTCCAATCAGTTAGTGGATATTTTGGAGAGTGGAACTTTTGTGATAAAGAACAAGCCTGTATAAAAAAATGTATGTTCGTATTTCTCAGCCTCTGTTTCAAACATGCCCGCAGATCGAATTGTGCTCAAAGTGGTTAACTGGCGTTTTAAATACCGTAAATAAATCAAAGAACATCTTCAACAAGTGACAGCTAAAGTGTAAATTTGCTTTGATATTGACTTTAGCATCTCTTTTGTCTCCCTCTCCTCCATCGGTGCTAACAAACGTTAGCTTTGGCGAGTGAAAGCTAATAACAAAAATGGCTCCTGGAACTGTGGATATAGAAAGGTAAAATATTTTGGGTTTATCAGCTAAATTTAATGTAGCATTAAACAGAGTATGGCTAAACATAGCTATACTACTGTCTTGTTTAGCATTGCAACTGACGATTACTTTTCTTAGTAACTTTTTTCTTATTTACTATTTAGTCATTTGGGGCATGAATATATTGGTAAACGTTCGTTAGATATTAAAAAAGAGAAACAAACTATATTGTGATGCAATAGTATTAGGACTTGTATAAATACAAAAATATGTTTGAGGTAAACAGATGAAATTGTATTCAATATAGAAAAGTGATTATGGATGAAAAGTTGAAATTACAAAATCCAGATCTTTATGACGTTACGTACAGATACAAAGTCTAAAGTATGATAAAAAAAATATAGAAATATATAAAACAGTCAAATTTGTAGGATGAATAAATGTTAGAAGGGGTTGTGATGTCAAAATATGCAACTTTTGGGTAAAACGTGTGGATTTTGACAGTTCATACATGAAGTAAACTGTTAGATAGAATAGAACATTATTCACATTATATACATTATAATTCAGAAATAATAGTCAATATTCTAAGTAAAAGTTTTCTATATTAAGGTGATCCTTTATCTTATTTGATCATTTGTAACCTAACTTTAAACTAAATCAATTTAATTGCCCTCATACATTTTCTCCCTCCGATTAGTAGTCCTGATGAATTGGACGATTTTCCACTGTCAGCCAACCGTAACAGGACTCCAACAATCTCCACAAAACGGAAGAAACGTAGAGCGCCTCCACCACAGGTGATATATCTGTCTTATTCAAATTCTTTACATTTACATTATCCTTAACTGGAGTGTTGAAACATTGAGGTCAATGTTTGAATCAATTCTGCACCTTTTGTGTCATGGCTGCTATTAAATCCTTTGACTGCATCAATTCACTTTACATCTCCTGCTGAGCAGCTCCTTAATCTCTCTTTCATCCTAAGCCACCCAAGAGACCAAGGCGTCAAGCTGCATCGAGGGTGACCCGCAGCCTCAATGACAGCAGCCTTGGCCCTACTTCTAATAACTCCTCCCTGCAGCAGCAGCAAAAGTCCCAGAGGAATTATAGACGTCCTGCATCAATAGATACAAACAGGGAGAGTGAGAGAAAGGAAGCCATCTCTGCAAAGGACATCTTTGATGCAGTCAGCTCTGGAAAAACTGCAATGGTGGTGAGCAAGAAAAAAAACTTCTCATGAAAGGGAAGAAGAAAAAGAAATGGTTTACACAGTAAAATGCATGAAAGGAGGGCGGGGCTATGAAGTGGTAGGTCCAGTGAAAGAAGAGTCGAGCTTCTATAGAGCTGAGGGTGGGAGAAATCATCATGGCCTGACTGATGTGGCTTAGTAGAATAGCCATTGATACGCAAAGAGGAAGGAGTGCCTACATTTGATAGTTTAGTCAGTGATTGACGGCAAATGCCCATCTATTGTTTTACTGTGGCCAGTTTTCTTGTTCTCACTTCCTTCAGGGGTCTACTTCCATCTCAGCCTATCCCTTACCTTTCAACCTCCTTGATGTCATCACAACCTGTACATTTTTGTATAGAGACTTATTTGATAACGGTGTGCCTGTTCAGTTGGTCTTTTTTTAATCATGTGAGAAATGTTGTTTACTGAAAAGCAGGGCTGTGTTAGAAGTCTTGTTGTTGCATACAGAAAGATTTGTAATATTATTTAAGATTTAGGTTGTTTTTCTATCCATCTACTGTTTGATCTGAGAGTGTTGTTCTTTATGCCTGTTCAACTGTAGGCACTAGTGGACGAATGGTTGGACTGCTACAAGCAAAACCGAGAGAATGGACTGCTGGTGCTCTACAACTTCATTGTCCAGTCCTGTGGATGCAAAGGTTAGGGGTCAAGAGGAAGGCCTGTAGATGGTAGTTGGGGGTGTAGGTCAAAGTTCAAATGATTATCTTTCCCATTTCAGCTCAGGCAGTGTTTAGTAGTCCTTGCATTGATCTCCTCGTAGGCTAACGATCCTGCGTCTACTGTGTAAATCATGGCTATTGACAACACAGTACATTGGTTTTTGTGAGCTGAAATTGAAAGAAATCAAAGCATGTAATTACATTTTGACGTTTCTGTCATTGTTTTGTGCAGGTGTGATTAGTAGAGAGATGCTTGATAAAATGGAGAATGCTAAGATCATCGGCACACTGACTAAAGAGTTCAATGAGGTAATTCAGATTATATATTTAATATTCTTAAAGGGTGGTCATTTTAACAGATAGCTTAGTGTTTAGAGATCCCCAGTTTTTAGGATTTGTTTTACTGCTATTGTTAAACTTGCTTCATTTTTCTGCAGCTCTATCCTGTACCTGTACTATAGTCTTCATCTAACTAGTAGTGCAATAGGGGGTTTTGTTAGGTGAGATTTTTAAAATTAACCAAGGTGGCAAATCCCCAAAGATAATGGTTCAAATGTTGTTGTAAAACAAATTAGAAGAGGCTAATGAAGATCTAACACGTACACTAATGGGCTCATTATTGACTTAATAACTTTGTGTTGCCACAAACAAACAAATTATAATGAAGGGGTGGGAGGGGGGTTAATTGTAACTGATTCCCTAATCACAAATTCAAATGCTGACCTCTTTTCTTTTGTTTGAAATCTTGCCTCCAGGATTCAGTGATCTACCCTCTGAGTACTCCAAGTCCCCAACTGAAGCATTTTAGAGCTGGACTGTATGAGTTTGCTAAGGTTCTGGTGCACTCCTGCCAGAATAGCATTATTTACGATGAATACCTCTTTCAATCCCTGCTGTCCCTACTCACTGGCATGTCAGACTCACAGGTCCGTGCCTTCAGACACACCAGCACCTTGCTTGGTAAGCACGTTTGGTCTGTGAAAATACTAAATTTACTGATTGTCAATGGATTCTGTGTCTGTGAAATACACATAGAAACCTGCATTCTTTGTCTGAGGCACAAGGGTGTTTTTTGTCTTCCTGGGAAACAGAATGAATCGCTTAATTCAGCCGACGTCTGCTTTATTTGTTCGACATTTTCTTTTGTTTTTCCCAGATTGCACTTCAGCTGTTTCTCTTTGTCATCTGCAAACATCCCGCATCCTTATAATTTCTTCCTGACACTTCCAACCAAACTAAAAAAAAAAACCACAATTTAGACTTCCACATGTCCTTGTCTGTCTCACATTTTCTTTTAAATAGCAATGAGGCTGATGACGGGGTTGGTGGAGGTGGCTGTGACAGTGTGTGATCAGCTCCAGACCACCCAGAGACGTTACGACACAGAGAAGAACAAGAGGGCGAATGACAGAGCTGTTGACAGACTGAACGATCTTCAGGTCACCATTAATGAGGTGAGACACTAATGCAAGTGTTAACATTGCATTTGTGTCAGTACTTATAACATCGATGGATAGGTAAACCTTACCTGTCACTGTAAAAAGATATGATGTGAAGATAACCAATATTATATTGAAGTAAAGTTGTTATACTGTTATTGATAAGCAAAGTAAGAAGTCAAATATCAGTTGATTGTCTTTGAAACCAGTGAAGCTCATTTTAGGCCTAGTTTTTTAAATATTAAGAAAGGAAATAAAATAAAAAATACCTAATATGTTTTAGTGACCTAAAGGTGAAATGTACAACAACTAATATGTTTTAGTGACCTAAAGGTGACACATATAACAGCAAACAGAACAAGGAAACATCATGTCAATAAGTTCGAACAAAAAAAACACCTGCCCACTGCTTCAGGGTGCACTCAGACTCACGCCATGGTACCACACCCAAGCGTGTTAGTATTCTATGGCTTCTGTGATTGTTTTGTTCCTGGGCATGGCACACTTGGCCTGCTAGAGAGCTTTTAGAAAGGGGTGGGCTGCAGCACGGTACACCAGCTCAAAAATATCTGTGTGCAGGCACCACAATTGAATGTGAAACATGCAGTCAATAAATGAAGACACTGGCGAGTGCGGACTATTTTGAAGATTCACAAAGAAGCAGCTGTAGCCGTGCTGTTGGTTTTGCTTTTGATCGCGCTGCTTTAACCGCTTTTAATAGTCGTGATGAACATTTAATACTAAATTAACTAGTCAAGTAGGTGACTGCATTTTAGCCCATTTTTAGTTGATGAAATGTAAAAAAACAAAGCAGGATTAAAGATGGGTCTGAGAGAGCTGATGTGGCTAACGTGCTTGTTTCTATTTTTGGTGTGTGTGTTTTTAATATGCATATGGCCTAGCTGGTGGAGAAAAAGGAGGATCTTTCTGCCATGATCAACTCAACATTCCGTGGAGTGTTTGTCCATCGCTACCGGGACAAGCTGGCAGACATCAGGGTTTCCTGTATCAGCGAGTTGGGCGTGTGGATGAAGATAAACCCAGAAAAGTTCCTGGATGACAGCTACCTTAAATACCTTGGATGGACCCTCTATGATAAGGTTGCCAGTTCATTGGACTAGACAGATTAGTGTGTTAATGCAGTGTTTTTAGTGTGTCTACTGTAGGTGCAAAAACATTTTCCTTTTTTAATGTCTTGGCTTATTATGAAACAATGGCAGGTAAAATAGGACCAGTGTCTCATGCAGGTCTATAAAGAGAAACACATTCTGTTATGAAACATCATGTATCACAGACCCTACCTTTGTGCCTGTAGCCTGTAGTTTCCCAGTCTATTAACAAAAACAGACATTCTTGTTTTATTTTCATTAGTTGACAAATGTTTATAAAAAAAAATTAGAATTGGTTTGCAATCACAGAGAAAATGCTGGTGCTCTTCCCTCTTTTTCTTCTACTTAGCAAAGTCCAGTGCGTCTGCAGTGTGTGCGTGCCCTGCAGGGTCTTTACCAGGATGAGAAATTCAGTGGCCACCTGGAGCTTTTCACCAGCAGATTTAAAGTGAGTTATTTGTCTGAATTGGACATCAACCTATTTTTACCCCCACCCCCTCTGTCTGGCCTGTCTGGCTGCTTTTCAATGTTTTTTACTGTGGTGTTTTATTATTCTGTATATATTTTTTTCCTCTGCCTGCATAGTTTTTGTGATAAGGACATATTCCTTTGTCTGGTAGTTTTAATTGCTGCCAGTTACTAATGGTTTATAATGTCTTTTCAAGCACATAAAACCCTCTTAAGCCTCATGTGCTACAGTAGATAAATGATTTTTATGCCACAGCTTCGAGGCCAGTCAGTGGTGTTGTGTATGTGGGCGCATTTATTGGAATAATGGCGCATGTGAGAGCATGTCCAATTAAAGTGTTTTTTTCTGTCTGCTTGTATTATACCACATGTGTCTCTGTGTGTGTCACTACTAATTTTTGCATGTGATTGTATGTGTAGGAGAGGATGCTCTGCATGGTGCAAGATAAAGACTCAGACGTAGCGGTGGAAGTAGTCCGTCTCCTGCTGATGATCCAACAGTGAGACATTTCTCTGTGGATATATATATATATATATATTTTATTTTATTTTTTATGTATATATACAGTGGGTCTTCATGATACAAGTTTATTCCGTTCCACAACAGCACTTGTATGTTTAAAACAATTTAATTTAAGTTTAATGACTTTGATAAGACCCTTGGTTATGACTCACCGTGATGTCTCATATCTGAGTCATTTCGTATGAACAAAGGGGAAAAACATAGAATGTAGTATAATGGGCATATCCAGAGAGTCCAGTCTCCTGAGGTCTGTAAATGTTTCTCTCTTGACCCTTTTGTTTTTGTTTGCAGAGACTCAGAGGAAGCCCTGACAGAGGAGGACTGTGGATGCATCTATCCCGTTATTTACACCATACATCGAGGCCTGGCGTCCGCAGCTGGTGCCTTCCTATACAACAAGTACACTTCCCATAATCTTGTCTTTCCTCACTAAAAAATGCCCTGTAAATGGACACTTCAGTCGATAGGATTTGCTTTTAGCTGTTGTTAGAAGAGAAAGAATATACAAAAATATGTAGCACACAGTTTAATCCAGGACTTTAGGTTATATCTGCTACCTGTGACCAAAGTCCTTTCTCTATATGTGTGTGTTTGCATGTCTGTCTGTGTGTGTCTGTGTCAGACTGAAGAGTTTGAGTTCCCAAAACAGAACGGATAATGAAAAAGGCCAAAAAGAAAACTTCTTTCAAATGCTAATCTCCTTCTTCATTCAGAGTGAGGTACATAAGACTCCCTCCTGTTGTTCTGTCTTCTTCGAAATCTGTACTATTTGATTACAATTTCAAGTATTTAACAATGTATTTCAAATAATCTTTGATTTATTTTAATCCTGCGTGGCCTGTACGTACACAGGTATCTCTTCCTATGTTTTGATTACCCTAAAAGATGCCTAAGGTCAATGGCTCCTGTTGCTGCATGTGCAGTATTTTCAATGTTCACTCCAACAACATTACATTATTGTCTTTCTTTACTGATAAACAAAAATGACCTAAGGGTAAATCAAGTATTTTTAGATGGGAGGACAACTCAAACACTCGGATGTCTTGTAAGGGATTAGAAAAATAAGTTGCAGAGTGTCTGCTAGACAGAACCTTTACTGATTCACCAACTAGATAACCAAGATTCAGATTCAGATAACCAAGATGTGCTTTGCTGACAGTGTTCATTGTTCAGCATCTGACAGTTATTCATTAGAAGTCAAAAACATTTCACTCACTTTCAAACAGTTCCATGAGCACGCCACGTACCTGGTGGACAGTCTGTGGGACGTGGCGGGATCTGAGATGAGAGATTGGGACAACATGACATCATTGTTACTCCACGACACACGTGAGATGAAGAAAATGATGGGTTTTTTTAAACTGGCATTGTGTAAGATGTAGTTCATATTTGCTTTGTGTAGTATGAATTATCACTCAGTTCTCCCACTCTGTCCCTTTCTCTCTGTCTCTGGGTTGTCAGGTCTGATGGATGAGGAGGAGACAGCTCTCATTGATGTGATGATGTGTGCCATGAGACAGGCAGCACAGGCAACACCGCCTGTTGGGAGGAGTCAGAGCAAGAAGGTGGACACACACTAAATACACACAGGGGCATCTGTGCTGTTTTTTTTCTATCTCTCATCCAAAGAACTGCTTGTTTTTTTATTTTATTTTCTTAAATAAAGTGAGTTCTCAAGGCTTGACGATTTCAAAAGCATTTATTATCATTTGGTTTAAACAAAGTTTCCATCCTGTAACACAAGCATAGAGAACATGTATATTGGAATTTGTCTTCTTCCTAAGAGAAAGAGTTAGTTTTTTTCCATCTTAAAGATATGTATGTATGATGACTGTTGATGTGTGTTTAGGTCCAAAGTAAAAAGGACAGGACTATTCAGGAACAGGACAAGAGACGCATCACCACACATTTCATCCCTTTACTGTCGCAGCTGCTAGAAAAGGTAAACAGTCATTGTATATTTAAAGTGCATGACGAGCACGTTTCCACACAGAAACAGCCATTAGTCTCATTATATCGACATGCGTTCTACTTCTTCCTGTAGTACTCAGCAGATGCAGGAAAGGTGAGCCTCCTTCTCAGAGCTCCGCTCTACTTTAACCTGGAAATGTACAACAGTGCACAGAGGATGGAGAAGGTGAGAGGACTACTGAAAAAATAAAAATGTCATTCTGTCCTCCCAGAGGACAATTCTATCTATTAAATGTCTTTTTCCATTGACCAATCAGCATCTGGACCAGCTGCTGTCCCAGGTTTGTGGTATTTTGGAGAAACACACTGCTGGCATCGTTTTGGAGGCGTGCACCTATGTGGTCAACGTTCTGTGTTCAAACGCGTACACCTTCTCCTCCCGAGCAAACCTGGTCTTCAGCCAGCTGATGGACAGCCTGGTAGAGCGTTTTAACACGTACTTGAGTGACTTGCTGGAGGTGGGTGTAAATTTAGTCAACATACTGTACAAATGGAAATGGATAAAGTATGAAAATGCTTTCACACGATCATAGCTGTAAGAGTCTGCTCCTCACTGCTCCTTTGAACGAATGATTTGTAAGACCTTGAAGACTGCCCTGAATCGATCGAGTACAAAGTTTTTGACAGAATAAGGTAGACTGGTGTGTGCCGTAGTGTTGTTAGACAACAATTTTATATTTATCTTTTGTTTTATTCTCCAGCATGAAATATTTTATTCCGTTAAGGTACTCAGAGGTGATCCTGCTAACCCTCATTCCATAGGTGTTTTTAGATAATACCTTACTGTCTAAAAAAATATTTGTTGATCAAGCAATGTTTAATAACATCATGGTTTGATACTAAAATACAATTTTAGTTTTAAATGTTTTTGTGTTTGTGTTTAGGGCACTGCAGAAGAGAATGACATGTGTAGGGCATCCAACGCTTTGAAAAGAATTTCTGCATTAAGTGGGTAAGTTTATAGAGACAGGGTAGTTGAACAAACTAAACCAACATATCAACACATGTTTATTTATGTCTTTTTTATCTTTTAAAATGAAATGGTTGTCTTTTTGTCCAGTGCTAAAGACCCGACAGGCTGGAAACTCTTTGACTCGTGTGTTAAACTGCTGCAGAGCATGTTGGAGTCTAGAGAGCTGAACACAGAGGTTTGTGATCAGGGCTCATGACCGACCTTTTACTAACTTAATTTTACAGAAATCTTAGCACTTGCTGACAATGTTTTATCATTGATTATCAATAATGGCAGAATTCTTTGAGACTAACAAAAACTTTGAGAATATTTATTTATATATGTATACATACATATATTTACCGGTGATTGTTTTTTTTTTTTTTTCAGCTCATGGTGTCATTGCTGAGATTTGCATTTTTACATCTCTCTTGGGCCAGAGTGAATGCAGAAACATCTAACCTCCCCGAGGTTGTCGACATAGTCAGGCTTTTTTGAATGATCTAAACAGTAGTTTAATATAGATGTGGACTTTTACAAACAGGCTAAAATAAAGCAAAAACAAAAGCATTTATAATATACTGTATAGCTCCTTGTTTCCTTTACCACTGTCACTCTCTGTTTTAGGCCGATCTGAAGCAACTCAGGAGGGAGATGCGGTTGTTTTGCAGAATCTGCCAGACATGTCTTCCTCTGCCTCAGTCCACAATCAGAGATCAGGTGATGTTCATTAAAGATTTGTACATATTTGTATGTATATTATTATTTTAGGGCGCCCCTTAGATGAATACACTTTTGTTGGTCAAATATCTTAATCCAGATATTTGTGTCTGTCCATCTCCAGGCCTTTGAGCTGCTCTGTGATTTGCTGCTGTTGTTCAGTCAAGGTTCAATCGGCACTAATCAACAACTACAAGCACTGGTCCACCTTCCCTCTGATTCGCTGCGCTCTGAAATGGCTTCTTTCCTCATGGAAATTATCTTTAACGACTCCGATGATGCTGAGCTCCATGGTATGATCGTGGTGTTTCAAATGTCAAGATGGTGCATGAGATTATGTTGGAAGAAAATGCTTTTGTGCTTACAATACTGGTGTACTCCTACGGAAATTACTTTTAGCTGAAATCTAAGATAACTTACTGTGATCTTTTCTACATAAACACATACTGTACCTGTCTCCTGTCTCTCTCTTTAGGCCATAATGAAGAGGAGATGAGAATAACTCTTCTCCAAAGGAAGCGTAACCAGCTGGCAGGTTACTGTAAGCTGATCATCTATAGGGTGCTAGACCTCGTGGCCGCCACTGATGTCTTCAAGCATTTTAGCACGGTAGAGATGAAAAGAAGCTTCAATTCTAGGCTAATAAATTCACTTGATTTTCAACAGCTGTACCTTATAGATTTCTTAGAACATCTTAACTTGTGTGTGTTTTTTGCCACAATGCTTTCACAACGTATTCTACACTACCTTTAAACCAACTTTAAATGTTGCAAAATAATTGTATAAGTATACAGTATAATATATATATATAATTCTTTCTGAAGTTTACTTAAGACTACAAGTTTTGTTTCCCTGTTCTGCAATAAAATTAAAAGTCTAGACTTAAAAGAATGTAAAGGAGAGTCTGTTTTGCAGTCAGTGGTGATTTTTGAATTAAACAGAGAGCTAATAAAAGTGGATTTTTTTTTCTTTCTATTTCTAAAGCACTTCAAAGACTTCGGTGACATCATTAAAGAGACGATAAATAAGAGCAAACTCATCAATCCAGTACAGAGTGCCAAGACTGTCTGTCTGACCCTGCAGCAGGTGCGGATACCTTTATTTACATGAGACAAAAATGTTTTTAAATATTTTTTGTAGTTTTTTTTTTTAAGAATAATTCTTAAAATATGTGAAGAAAAAAATGTAAATTTGCTGTTAAAATTTTCAAAAGGGGTTTTGCATTATTAATTTCAATCAAAACCAGTGTGGAATATGTCCATTTGGTTTTCCATAGCACAGACAATTTATTTTTTTGAATATTGGGCCTTACCTAAAGTTACATTTATGTGCAGCTCTTTTCAGAGATGGAGGATAAGAACAGAAAGAATCTTGGCGAGTTGAGAGACTTGGGAAAAATGCTTGCCCTGACCTTTGGCCCCCACCTGCATCGCGTCCGCGAGCCACTGGTGACCCTGCACATGTGAGTGTAACAACAAACCCTTACATTTAGTCAAACCTAAACAAGCTTTAACGTGAATATGTTAGACCTGTGAGAACCCGATTAATAATTAAATTAATATTCATAAACTGGACAATTTTGATCTTCAAATTATGTGGTCATAACTCCGTAAAATAAACTGGCCTCCTCCCTCTGTCATTTCTTTTAAAGGAGTTGCACACCCATGTCCCCACACCCTTGGGATAAAAAGAAACGCAACAAGCTTTCTTAAAAAGGCAGCATGTTTAATCTCGCTCTAATGTCCAGAACACATACATAACAACAGTCCCGTTAACAATACTGCACACTCACATTGGAACTAAACAGAAATGTAACACGGTTTTCAATACAATGCAACACTACTTCATAAGATGAGGTGGCCTTTATTTATTAATAAAAATGTCAGCTTTGAGTTTTAAATTTTACAAAGGAAATGGTTATTAAAGTCCCACCTAAAAAATACTCCAAACTACCATCACAATTTTTTGTTGTTGATCAATTGGCACCACCAAGGTGCAGCCTGTTGTAGCTGATCTGGTTATTATTATTATTATTATTATGTGTTTCGTTCTAGGGACGGCATACGTTTTGGTTTAAGAGTTCCAGAGGATGGAGAGGATCAGGACCTGTACGTGCTCTTTTTGGAAGTACTCAGCGAGTTCAGTTTGAAACTGTTGCCACAGGATGGTGCTCAGCTGTAAGGACATTAAAACACATGACAAACATTTCTGAAGCGAAGCCGTTATGTTAGCAGATATAAAGAGTAGAGGTGAAATGGTTAGTGTTTGTTAAATAATAAACACAACAAGGTAATCTGTTGGGTTTTTTTTTTGTTATTTGTATAAATACATAATAATATAATTCAATTTATTCATATTTAAAGAAGATAAAATTAACTTTGGATTAAAACTAAGACTGGATTTGTATCATAATTCTTGTATCATAATTAAACTGTTTATAAGTCGAAGTGAAACATGCACCTGACTGCTCACAATAAAACTGAATCAAAATTCAAAGAAACCTGACAGACAAAGATTTGCTCTGTCTTTGTCTTCATCCCTGTGTGCTCTCCCTCCTCCATTCAGAGCTGCATATTTTAAATCAGAGTGTCCCAGTGCTGCCCTCTCCTGGCCATCAACCAAGGTGTATCTGCGCTCTTTGGAGACTCGCTCCACCAGACCAAGGGAGCAGAAGAGGGTTGGTGATGCTGGCTCCAGCGGGCAGACTCCAGTGGCTAAACGCAGGAGGAAAGTGGTGCCTCAGGGTGAGATGGACACAGGTTGCAGAAATAAAAGAAAATGGTAGAGAAAATGGGAAATTTTGGTCAAGGAACCAGCCATCAACAGCTATGTCTCAGTCTATTTTCTGCCTTCAACACTGACTTTTGATCAGCATCTCATGCATTCACACTATAATTTACTTATTAACTAATATTTTTCTGTGTTGTGACTACCTGTCCTTTGGTTTAGTGTCCAAAGCCACTGGAGGATCTTTCCTGGACAGCAGCAGTATTCCCAGTATTCTTCCCACTCCAGCTGAAAAATCCACTATGATCAAAAAGCCAAACCAAAAGCTCCCCCGATCTCCAAGTTTGGACAGTGGTGGCATAACTGAGGTGGATTCTGAAGATGACTTCCCCTCTGTGTAGGTTAAGTTCTATTATCAGACTGAACTGTTTACCAACTCTCAATAATCAGAAAGGAATTACAGAAGCCCTAATAACTTCAGTCAACTGTCTGCTCGGTTAAACTTAAGACTTGTTGTTTTGGCAATAAACCTTCTAGCTTCATAGCAAATTTTCATTTTAAGCTTTTGTTTCCTTTTTAGGAAAATAAAAGGAGACAAAGCCCCCGACCCATACCAATTCGACTTGAGTTTTGAACATAAAACAAAACAAAAAGTAAATTAATACTTTGAAAAGAACTACAAAAGAAAAGAAACCTTTACATTAAAGAAATGAATTAAAAATAGAAATCACATTTTAAAAAAATAGCAAAGTGTTATTAAAATGTCATTGCTCCTAATATAAGTCAAATTCTTTCCTCTAGGCCTCAAATGCGAAAGGCTAAGCCAGTCAAACGCCTCACTACTTCCTCTAGCCAGGCTAACACCAGTACAGATGCAATGAACCTGAACTCCCATCTCACCTTGTAAGAATAATCTGAGGCAATAAAATCTATTTGGTACTTAAATTATTATTAATCTCTTATCACTGAATTTGTTTTACGGGTTGCAGGCTTTCTCTGATTGAGGATGATCAAACTGAACAGATGGAAGAGGATGACATTGAGGAGTACGACAGTGACTCTGACCATGGGTCTTCATATATACTGGTAAAAATAAAATAACACTGGGTAAAGTAAAACACCTGAAAGTTTTAATCTCTGCTATTGCAAATTATGTGTCACATATACAGGATATTGCAGTTTGTATAGGTTTGATTTTAAAAAATGTTTTATATTAGGACTGAAATTGAATTCTGTCAACTTTTCTTGTTGTGCAGCCTTCTACACGTCACACTCCAGTCAGTGTTCTCGATGAACTCTTTGATTGAAGCCACAGAGACATCCATCATCTTCAAACATCGTTGTTTATATGACCAGTTCAAACACATTTACATGTTGAAGAGTGATTTTGAAATCAACAACCAATCAGATGAGCTCATAGTTACTGATTTGTGTAGTAGGAATAGTTAACTACTCAGGCCATGTTGGACATATTCAGTTCTGAATTTGTTGTTTGTTTGTTTGTTTGTTTGTTTTAAAGGAAAGAATGGTGGCATTTGCTCAATACGTTTTCTAATTTCTAATGAAAGCTTCTCATTTCGTGTTTAATCATTTTCATGATCCTTTGCAATGCTGTCCATGTTCATTTTCAAGCTTTATTAATTATTATAACGTTTTTGAATAAGCACAAGCACTTGTGATTATTTCATGTATTTTGTTTATTTGTATTTTTGCTTAAACAATGAAAGTTGAATGAAAATGGTATTGGGATTGGAAAAAAAGGTTATTTCTTAAAAGGAACATTTACTGTGGAAAATATTTGTAAGTGCTTGAAATGTCACTGTGCAAAATGTACAGTTTGGACCTTTAAGCCAACAATTGTTCACTCAGTGTTTTAATAGAGCCAAATTCAAGCCTGAAATCGCGTATTATTTTCGGGTTCAGCTCAGGTTGCAGAAACAAATACCGACATCTGTTTTCGCGCCATTACAGCCAAACTCGGCGGAAATAGTCAGAGACACGTGATGCGGGCTTGCCCACAGCTTTCGCGCCACCGTAAAATCCCACCCTTCGCTGTGCAAAGAATCGCCCTGATTGGCTTTCAGTGACGACCGACTGGCGCCAAACTTCTCCGAGAGTAAAGACGGAAAGTGTGGAAGAAGGCGGCTGCAGGTTTCTACCGGTGACTGTGAGGCAGAGTGAATTGAAAACTTAAACCCTGTTTGACTGCTGGATTCTCTCAAACGATCGAGTTATTCGCGTGTTCTCGTCTAAGGCGTCGCAGTTCTTCCGCCATGGCTCGTAAGGATTACGCGGCAGAGAAAGGTAAAAGTTTATTCACTAAAATGGCAGCAACATCGGTTTGACCCAAATATTTATGAAAACTCGTAACTTGGCCTACTCAGTAAAGTGGTTTTCATAGTTTGCATCGGTAGATGTGCCTGTTTATGCATGCTCTTTGGAAAGAAAACTATTTTTTACCATCTACACGCGTGTTGCATTTTTATTTATCGCTCACTGATGATTTTACCCTGGATAAATAATTTAGTAACATGCATCTGTCATCCTAACTCTTGTTTTTCGCGTACAATGTACAAATATATGTAAGATATGATTAATTAACGTTTTATTTTTTACGGAACCACTTACTTAAGTAGGCAGGCATTGTGTGTGAGTATATGACCCGGATGGATCCGCTTAAACAAAGAAGAGGGCGCCAGACCAAGCACATGTCCACACACTACAGATACAGCTGAATTACAGCTTAAATGCGTAGAATAATGCTAATAACATGAATAAACACAAGTTTATGATCTCTTAGTATGTGGACTTAATCCGTCCTTTCAACTCATTTAAGTAAAGATAGCCTGTTGAGCGCGCCTTCTAATGCCACTTTACTATGGACATTACGGTAGCAAATTCCACGAAATGGCTTTCGATGCCAAGTTTGAATTTAAGTGTCAAATGTTATATTTCGTTGTAAATAATAGTATACTGCCTTTATTTAGACACTTTCTTTTAACGTGTGTAAGAAAAACAATTATTTTGGTATTGTTAGCAAATAGTTGTAACAATAGCATGTTAGCATGTTGTGGTTTAAAAGCGTGTGACAAGATAAAGGTATAAGGTCGAAGACTTTAGTAAATAAGAAAAAATGTTTTAACAGAATACATATTTTAACACAGATTTTCTGATGTTCTGTTCTCTTCGGCCCTGCATTCATATATCAATTACTGATGATCTTTAATTTTAAATCAACTCGGCTATGTGATTTAGTGATCAAAGCTGTATAACATCTTAATACATTTAAAGTATGTAAGTACTTATTTGACAGATATTGTAAACTTGAGACTCTGGATATAGTTGTGATTACATCAGTGATTTTTGTAACCCTTTAAGGGATTTACAACTTTGGGGGTCTACAATATGTTTTTTGTAACTTGTTATAAGCTTCTTCTCAATTAATTATTTACTATAAAATATGCTTTTATCTTTTCCTCTTTATTGTTACCCTCGCAAAAGTCGTTCTCGATTTATATGTTTCTGTGACGCCTCAAATGATTGTGCTTTCTTAAATTCATATCATGGCAGTTTAAAAAAAAAGGTACTATATTAATTATCAACATTCTCTTTATTGTATTGAAGCAATTTCATTGTTATAATAAGTAGTATTGAAATATATATATAAAAGGTCATTTGTGTTCCCCTGACCTCAACTTATTAAATGTTAATATGTTAAGGTTTCTTTGATATTGTTAACATAATACATTTATGCTGTAAACAAAAATATATTTATTAATTTTGTAATCTTTAAGCTCACTCTAGCGTTCTAGGAGGGCTTGCATATCAATTTAGTTTTTGAAATGTCTTGAAAACAAGTCGAAAGTACAGTCTGTAAATATAATTATACTTTTATAGTGCAGATGGCGTTGTTGAAGAAGGGTAACAGACTAACAAAAAACGATGTTGCAAAATCTTGTGAGAATGGACCTTTGGGGGTTTTTTGTAAAAACCTTTTGGGGGGTTTTCAACATAAATTTAGCAATGCTTTACTGTCAATCGATCAAACAATACTCTTAAATTAAAGTACTATTTTCGTCATAATATTTGTTGCAGCGAGAGAGAGCAGCTTTACTTCTTTAATAAAAAATGTTGTAGCTTTATAGTAAATAGACAATAAATTTGGGATTTAAGCGTAGTATTCGTTAAACGTTATATTTGATAATTGGTTTCAGTGAGAATCGTGTAAGTTGTGTATGATGAGTACAAGAAAAGGTGTAAAACCACTTTTCGTTTGGAAAACTGTCTGGACTATTTTCCATCGCGGATGGTTTGGGCGGACTAATCTGCGCGTGAGGAGGCACAAAGCCATGTGCTGCTTTGTTTACAAAAACATCCTCCAACACGGAGAAAAAAAGAAAACACATCTGCGCTTTTTGTCCTCCGTCTGCGAAGTAAGTCGTTCTTTTTACACACACATTTTGAGGGTTGCTGTTTTTAACTAAAAAACGAAATTTGAAATATTCCCAACAGTTACTTGTGGCTCTTTGAACAAGTGAAAAATATTTTCTGTGCGTGTGTTAAAGGCGGAGAAAAAAAAGATGGACACTGACTGAAGTGAAGGCTCTTGTTTGTTTTTTCTTCTAGCGTTAAAACTATACGATAACAGGAGTATTTAGGCCTTAAATTGTGATTATTGGTGAGCATCGGAGGATAGAAAAATATGGTTAATGTATTTGACTGGCAGAATCGAAAGCGTCAGTTTGGGATTTTACTCTGGCGGCAGTAGTGACTCATCGAGATTAGAGAAAATGCCCTGTTACTCAACAAAGAGAAGGGTCGGAGCAGGGGCAGCGCAGTCAGCGGAGGATCGACACTGTATCGATCATTGACATACAAATACCTCGTAGGAATATTATTTTACCGTCTGCTACTTTTACATTTTTGTTAAATGCAGTAAACGTGGAATAATGTGGCTTTGTTTTTATTACAAACTGTTATTTTTATGCTCTAAAATTAAGTTAAAATTCCTTAATTTGTCTTTAAATTTACAATTTAGATTCAGGTTGTTATTGCCCAAACGGGTTTATGTTACAGAAAACGGAATGTTCTCAGTTCTTTTTAACACATATAAACAGTAAAAATAACGTCACCCATTCTGACATTTCTGCTAAGCCATTTCAACCATTTGGTCATTGTTACAAAACGATCCCAGTACTTCCAGAATTTGGTGATGTTTTTAAAATAAATTTCTTAATTTAAATTGTTCATTTTCAGCTGCTTACATGGTTTGTAATCCAACAAAATCACTGATGCATCAAACCACACTGGCATTTTTATGTTAAGAGATGATTAATGAATATGTCCTAAATCTAACTTAGTAGTAGAAAATTGTAATTTTTATTTATTTATTTTTTGCAGAGAAATGCAAGAGGTTCCTGCAGGAGTTTTACACAGAGGATGACAACGGCAAGAAGGTTTTCAAATATGGCGCTCAACTTGTAAGTCACGTAATACATTATCTGGAATAATGTGTACTGCCCAGAGCCACTAAAGCCACACTTTGAACCATTATCCAATTTTAATGACCTCTGAGAAGATTGTGTGATTTTTGTATATGATGATTTTTTTTCCCCATTGAGAATGAATTGGAGCATACTGACTTAAAAACAACATATATTTATGTATATATATTTGATTCATTATGGTCCAATTTATTCTCAAACACAGATAGAATCACATTAATGGATTTTAATCCTTATTTTATTTTTTTGCCAGGACTTATTATTGATTTGTCAGGGTCCTGATAAATAGTAAAAATAACGTCATGATAACCTCTGTCTACAGGTGGCACTGGCTCACAGAGAGCAGGTGTCCCTCTTTGTGGAGCTGGATGACTTGGCAGAGGAAGACCCAGAGCTGGTGGAGAGCATCTGTGAAAATGCAAAGCGGTACACGGGCCTGTTCGCTGATGCCGTCCACGAGCTGCTGCCAGAGTACAAAGAACGAGACGTACGTATAGAAAACAGTTTGGTTCTCCCTCAAGTGTACGCATATTTGTTTTTATTATAATGACAACTTTATTGTCAGTGCATGTGGGTAAATGTTGTCTTTCAAAAAGATTTGAAAGACTTTTTGGGCACCCAATCTGATAAGACTGTGCTTTTTTTTCTGACTTCTATCTATCTTTTATAGGCCTACTTTTGCAGCTGTATGGTAGTGTCAGTTTGTTGTATACAATTATGTGAAGTGGCACTGCTTTTGGTTATAACATTTGCGTCCCTTTAATGTTGACCAGTTGCACTCATCTAAAACACTTGCATATGTCTGTCTGCAGGTTGTGGCCAAAGACTCCCTGGATGTGTACATAGAGCACAGGTTGATGATGGAACAGAGAGGCCGCGACCCCGCTGACACGCGGGACCGCCATAACCAATATCCACCAGAACTAATGAGAAGATTGTAAGTCAATTTTCTGACTCGGATAAATATAGGATTCTTTGAATTATCTGCTCTGTCATTGTTTGAGACTTTTAAAGCAGCACTCCCTAACCTTTTTTTATGCCATGGACAGGTTAAATATCTGATTTTTTTTTTTTTAAGATGTGGGGGATTAATACAACTAAATAAAATGATATGACTGGCATAGAAACTGGTATTTTCTAAATATAATAATAAATCGTAAACCACTGTGGATGCATCTTTATTAGCAATGGCTTGTTGCTAGTCAGCGGCCCAAGAGTTGTGGACAACTGTCTTAAAAGATCTTGGAAAAAAAATGTCCTTGTAAGATGAGCATATTTCTTAACACTGAAGTGCCTGATTTTGCATCTTACTCCTCACAGTGAGCTGTACTTCAAATCTCCCACTACATCTAAACCTAAAGTTGTCCGTGATGTACGAGCTGACAGCATCGGACACTTGGTGAATGTTCGGGGCATCGTGACCCGAGCCACTGAGGTCAAACCCATGATGGCTGTAGCGACATACACCTGTGACCAATGTGGAGCGGAGACCTACCAACCTGTAAGGCTTTTTTCAAATCCTCTGTAATGTAATTTTTCAG